CTGTGACGCATCACGTGATCCTCTCACTGCTCGCCTAGCCCCGCCCCTTGTTTAGTCACAGCTAATTTCACTCCGAGTGTTTGTTATTAGTGTCGAGCGTGGCCTCCGCCCGCCCGCTCACTTACTGCTTATCGCTTACGCAAACGCCGCCTTATTAAAGCAGATAATGACTTTAACGCCATGAGCCGGCCAATGGAGCGGAAGCTAATGAAGACATTTATGAGGGTGAAAGAGAGTGAGAGGGTGAGGCGTGTCTGACTGAGCTAACGGCTTCCTTTAAACGACTTCTGTCCCGGTCCGTCGGCGCCACGTTCACGATGGCCCTCCACCAGCAAACCGCCACAGCGTTAGCGATGCACAGCCAACCAGTTTATAAGATCAAATGAAGGAGGGTGCTGCAGAGAAGCTCTCTGTGCTGAGAGAAAATCGAGGAACAGAGTTCAAACAGGTCGTATCAAGACATTTTTATTGGGTGAAAACACACAGATGCTCTCCAGCTCTGCTCCAGGTTAAAGCCACCTGTCGGGACTAACCGTGGTCACGCGATGCGGGTGTTTCGAGCACAGTCTGGAAGCATCTGCACTTCCTGACACGTCAGTACTGAGCATCCGATGCCTAGTTCCTGTAATTCTACACCTCTGGATTATTTTGCCTTTGGTTCCTTTAAAGGAGGGTGGGGAACTCCACCCTGCAGGTTTTAGATCCCAACCTCGGTCAGCACACCTGAATCGCATGATTGGTTTATTACCTCTGGAGAACTCAGGTCATTTAGCCACATGCAGGACGCCGGCCCTCGAGGCCTGCAGTTCCCCAGCCCTGCTTTAAAGCAGGAAAAGCCAAAGTGATTCAACACGGTGGGAACATACATCCTGGTGAAACTCCCTTCATCCCTGAGATGTGTGAGTAAGAAGATTTTCTACATGAAGAGAAAGAAATGTGTAACATTAGAGCGTTTCTGTGGCTCGCTGCTCAGATTGAATATTTCTGTTGATTCACAGAAAACTGTTTTTATTTTTCTATAAAAACACATGATTACAGTCGAGAGTGAAAGAAATGTAATTCTTTATCTGCTCTTCATCACGTGAGGCAGGTCTTCATCAGCAAACGTTCATGTCGTCCTTGGATCTTTGCAAGGCCGATTCTGGCCCGCGGGCCTTATGTTTGACACCTCTGCTTGATGAACCTTGGCTTTAAAATGAGGCCCGCCTTGTGTTCAGGTCTGAGTCTGCTCTAGCTCACATCCACCTCCTGCGGCCATCTTTACCATCTGTGGCTCCAAGCCCAGAAACCCTGCGTGGACCAAACGGGGACAGAGCGGGTCACCGGGTTTCAGGCAGGGCGATCAACTTTAAACATGGAGGTCCAAGGCGTCGTGGGAGGAGGACTGAGGCGGCGTCCTGAACTCCAGGTTGAGCTGTCCCTGACTGCGAGAGCGAGACAGCAGGAAGGATGGCAGAGCGTAACGCTGCGTCCGCTGACGGCGAACACACCTCCCGCCTGAAAAGAACAAAACACACGACTGAGGTCAAACTTTGACCGAAGCACAGATCTAAACCCTCCTGTTCTACCGTCTCTGTGATCCAGCAGCAGACGGATCCATCTGCAACCACAAACACCGAGCTTTGACTGGCTCCGCCCACAGAAGAAACTCTCTGTGAGGGAAAATGCACCGACGCCGACCGCTCGCCCACACGGAGAGCGTGAAACAGCCTCCACCTCTGCGACCGGCACAGGCGCTGCAGTCGCTCTCAGATTAGCAAAGGTCTGAAAAAATCTTTGCTAATGACACTGAAACAATAATTACTGACTCCACAGACTGTAGGTCATGCTTTTATTGTGAAATACAGATTTGCTTCCTTTGGCGTTATAGAGTTTCCATCTTTATTTTTTAAATGAAAAGAACGACAAAACGCGGTGACTACAGAGAACAGGAGAGAAAACTTCACTAATGAGTAACAGTTAATAATAATAATCCAGAAGCTTCTGTTCTCTGATGACTTTAAAGCTTTTTAGACATTAAATATAAAAAATTAAATTATAACAAAAAGTTATTTCAAAAACCAAACTGCATTCGATTTCTTCACGTCAGTGTATGGGCCGCATGTTTGGGTGATGTGGGCCACTTGCGGCCCCTGAGCCACGAGTTTGCCTGGTACAGAGTAACTTCACTGGCACAGATGGGCTTCCGTAGCCCATGCAGCATGGTTCTGGTAATGAAAACATAAAAAAGTGATTCTTATAATAATTGTTGGACAGACCTGACTGAGACTCGGGTTTCTCGAAGATGTCGGCGCTGCCGCTCCAGTACTGGACGGCCGTCTTCCCGTGGTAATCTCTGATGTTGGTTTTAGCATCTGATTAAGACAAAACACGACAGTTTCCTCTGGATTAAAATCATATCGTGTTGGCGTTGTGTATGAATTCTGTTTGAGTCGATGGAGTCAGACTGACAGAGTGAACATTCAGAGGTCATCTTTGCAGGGTTCAAGGAGACGCCGGAAACATATCGAGAGGTACATCTCCATCAGTGAATCTTAAGCTCAGGTTTAAATTCACAGGAGGACACTTCAGAGAGTCGCGCAGACACAGGAAAGGATGTCAACCTGTATCCCTGCATTTCCTGTCAAGTGAAATGTTCTGTTTAAGCCTTTGTCTTCATATTTACAGCTCGGGGGCGCGGCGGTTTGGCCTGATCTCTAATGAAAGACATCTCAGTTTATTATTGGCTTTTATGTGACAGACTGACAGGAAGCTGTCTGTGTGCTGACGCTGCCCAGCAGGAGATAAAAACTGCTTATTCTGGGGTCATCATTCAGCATTTGTTTCATCAACTAAAAGACAGAAACATGCATCTCTGACAGGAACGGCGCGGATAGTAAAGGTTTGTTTTTCCTTCAGTATCTGGATCACTAGGAAATGAGCTGTGCAATTCTCTGACAAAGTTTTTCACTTTTAAATGTGACTTCCTCACAGCTCAGAGTCTGTGGGACCCTACAACCACAAAATGGACGGATGGACAGAAGAAGCGAGGGATAGATGGAGGGATGGATGGATGGATGGTTGGATGAATGTTTGGATGGATGTTTGGATGGATGGATGATGGATGGTTGGATGGTGGATGGAGGGAAGATGGCATGGATGGATGGACGGATGGACAGATGGATGATGGTTGGAGGGATGGATGGATGGTGGATGGGGGGATGGATGGATAGACAGATGGATGGATGGATGGATGGATGGATGGATAGAAAGATGGATGTTTGGATGAATGGGGGATGGTGGATGGAGGGATGGATGGATAGACAGATGGATGATGGATGGATGAATGGACTGATGGATGGACGGATGGACAGATGGTAGATGGATGGTTGAATGGATAGACGGATGGATGGATGGATGATGGATGGATGGATGGATGGACTGATGGATAGACAGCTGGATGGATGGATGGATGGATGGACGGACGGATTGATAGACTGATGGATGATGGATGGATGGATGGATGGATGGACGGACGGACGGATTGATAGACTGATGGATGATGGATGGATGGATGGATGGATGGACGGATCAATAGACAGATGGATGATGGATGGACAGATGGATGGATGGATGGACGGATGGATAGACAGATGGATGGATGGTGGATGGGGGGATGGATGGATAGAAAGATGGATGGATGGATAGACAGATGGATGGATGGTGGATGGATGGATGGATGGATAGAAAGATGGATGGATGGATAGACAGATGGATGGATGGATGGATGGATAGACAGATGGATGATGGATGGATGGATGGATGGATGGACGGATGGATGGACAGATGGATGGATGGATGGACGGATGGATAGACAGATGGATGGATGGACGGATGGATAGACAGATGGATGGATGGATGGATGGATAGACAGATGGATGGATGGATGGATAGACAGATGGAT